TAGCCCAGATTAGGGCAAAAAAACATTTCAAAGACATAGTACTCTCTTTAGAGCAGTGGTTCCCAGGCCTGGCTGTGCACTAGAATTACCTGGAAAGGTTTACATTAATAGTCCTGTACTCCATCCCAGACTAATCATATTAGAATCTCTAAGGATGGGATCCTGGCACCAGTACTTTTAAAAACTGTGTTAAGAAACTTTTGATAGATGATCAGATTTTAGAACCATGGTGTCATTCTTGACACCGGTCTCTCCCTTTTCATCCAGTCCAATTTAATCTGTCACCAACTCCTGTTGATTTTCCTCTCAAGTTTTTTAAATCTATGTGCTTTTCTCCTCTGCCATCACCATCACCATCTAGGCCTATTTACCATTTTCTTTTACTTAAATAATGATAATAGTTTCTGAATTTAGATAATAGTTTCTGATAATAGTTTTGGCAACCTCTCTACTTTGCACCCCATTTTTAATCCACTCTGAATGCTGAGTGATATTTTCTTAAGTCAGATCTGATTTTTTCCTTCCATTTAAAATACCTCTGCACTTTCCCGAGATTAGTACTTCAGCTTAGCCTGCAAGGGTCCCAACGTAGCTAGTATACCACATAATTGGACAAGTATTAGAATTATATATAATTTAGTTTCTATTCTAATATTTCAACTGTTTATAAATATTAGTACCTCAAAATAAGTATATGTTCTCCCTGTAGTTATTAGCTAGTGCTAGATTTAGTTATCAATCTAAATTGACATCTAGTTAAATTGACTAAATCTATTTCTCTATTTAACTAAAAAATTTTCATCATTGTTCTTATATAAAATTGACAGCTTTCATAATTATTATTACAGCATTTTCTTGTAATTGGAAGCACATTTTTTCCTTCTACTGATATGTTCTCACTGTATTAAGCATAAAAGGATGTTTTAATCCTAATCTTATCAGAAATACACATATATATTTGAAGTTTATATACTGGCATAAAGAATAAAACAAATTTTGGTTCTCATTATTGACACTGTTATATTCCTTGTCTATAATGGTAACTTGGACTACTCAAAAAGCATGGGTCCCAGAAAAGGCATCAGTATACATAGTCATTCAACTGCTGAGCCTTCTGAAATCCAAGGTCAAATTAATTAACAGATTTTGGCTAAAGCTGTTAATTTACCCTCATATTATCTAATTTACCCTAGTATTATCCAGTTCAGAGTAGTTAAAACTCTATCCTATTTGATATAAGAATTCAATATTTTCCCAACTTGCTCTTCTTGTATATTTTTTTGGATCCCTGAGATATTCCATGCCAGTTGTTACTTGCCATCTTAACCTTAAGCAGCTGCCTGGCTCTGGACCACTGCATCACACTTTGGTTGGTCACCAACATCCTTCTTGCTCTTCCATGTATGACTTTAACCCTTGGTATCATTCCAGAAACACAAAATTCTCCACAATAATAGGAAAATCACTGTGATGTTTGTGTGGCTTAACTAATGACATCAAAATTAAAAGAAGTGAAGAAGCCAACAGTTGTCACTAGATACTGACATTCTCTGAGTTCACAGAACAAGGCCCTCACAGAGCATTCTCTGTTGTGCAAAATCTTCTCTGTCCAGTCTCAGGCTTGTCTCTGTGTTTCAGTGATCAGTGTGTCTCTCTACACTGAGAATGCCTGGAATTAGTTTCTATACCTGGTGCACAAGTCCACTCTCCCCCAAGCTTAGATATTGTCATAGGTTCATCCCTGTAAGTATCTATTTCCTAGCAATAAAACTTTTGGTAAAAATGAAAGTGGAAAATATCTTCCTTTTGTGATTTTCCACCCATCCAGAAATGTGATCTTTCCTTTAGTTCTAAGATAGTTCAGAACAATATCAGTGTTTTCCCCAGAGTTGAGTTTATTTATTTATTTATGTAATTTATTTATTTTATAGATTGATTGATTGATTGATTTATATAAGCACTGGGTACAGTCAGAAGCACAGGAGGGTGAGAGAATTCACCAGAACCAGAGAGGAGAGCGGAGCAGGCAGAGTGACGAAATACACTGCTGAGGGGAGCTGCCGGTGGGTGGCAGGAGAAGTCTGCGCGCCATGTGGGACCCTCTCCGGCAGCCAGGGATCAAACCGGCCGTGGAGAGGCTGCAGGCAGCTTCACAACCCAGTGCTCAACCACTGCGCCACTGGGGAGGTCCCAGAGTTGAGTTTATTTAATGTGGAATGACCTCACGTATGGAGCTTATGTTTTATAGTTTGGCTTGAGCTTCAGCAATCCCAGGGCACCTTCTCTCTATAGTGAACTGTGTTCATTTCCTTCCTGGAACTGGCAGGATAGATTTAGTCAATTCAAATATATATGTGTACTTCAGATAAAATTAGCAGTGGTTAATTGCTTGAATAAGACACATTTATCTTCCAGCATCTAACAAAAACATTTAGGGACAATACAATTTAAATCCTCTTATAGGAAAGAAATATTTCGTGAAAGAAATTATTTTCAGAGATGCAGCTGTACCACAGTGAAATCAACCTTTTATATGATTATGAAAAGCAGATTAAGCTCTTTGGAGACACATTATCTCTATCATCTTCATTATAAAATAGAGTCCATGCTCTACCTACAAGTCTTCGAATATAATCGAAAGATCCTCTAAGATGTTTTACCCCAGACAAAGAGGAAGTGTGCCCCAAAAGCTGAATTCAAATCTTTTCCTCAAGGGAAACAAATCTCTAAAAGCAGTAAGATGTCAGTTGTTCTTATTCAGCAATTAGTGTCAACATCTCATGGGATTGACATTAGGCCAGCGCGCCCCATTATAATCTATTTCACTGTCACTCAGCAAAGTGCCAGTACGTGACCAGGGGAAAAAATAAAATCTGAGCTAGATGAACTGTCTAGTGATATCAAATACTAAGCAATAATTTCAATATAATAAAGCTAAAATGCTGCAGAAGTATGCTTAGAGTATGCTTGGGAACTGTTAAGCAAAGAATTCTCCACTTTCTCCTCAACAATGAGCAATAGAATGATTCCTTCTTCTGGTTTTTTTAAGCTCTTAATTGTTTAAACATTGTATTGAAGTACCATTGGTTTACATGGTTGATAGTACTTTGTGAGTATAGAATCTCACCTACCTCCTGACCTGCAGCCACCATAGCACACCTACCAGCAAATCCACTTCGTCCTCCTGCATAGTCCATTGTGCTCCTGCCCTACTGCCTGCCCCGCCATTGCCCCAATTCTATAGTCAGATTTATCTCAGTCCAACAGTGGATGTTGAGAGATACTGATATTGTGTCTTTCTACCACTTCTAAGTCTGTTTCCTAAGATCTCTGAAGCTAAATAGATGATGGTTACAAGTGGCTGTTAGTAGCTGGGTACATTCCTCCAAGAGGGAAGTTGGTTAAGAGAGAACTAGGCATAAAAAACTGGGACTTGGTGGACAGAATAAACCCACCCCTCTCCCTAGAATGATACATAAACATAGTGTTGGAGGCTTGTGGATTTTAACTATGAGAGTTACTCTAGGAAAAAGAAAAGTAGATAAGAAGGTTACAGAGGAGGTTTGTATTCTGCTGAGGTTACAGGATATTCTGTAGTAGTCATTCATTTCATTTTAAAGATTTCTTCTTACTTAAAATATGTATAAATAAATCTGAAGCATAATTTATTTTGATAACAAATACTAATCACAAAAGCACAGATGAACTGACTCTTTTATAAGGTAATATGAAAAAGAAGTTATTTTTTATATTTAGTTTTCTTGACAGGGCATACTATATTAATGATAAGCTCATTTTAAAAATTATATATCTTTTTATCAACTAGTTCTATTAAAGAAATAGATACATTTTATTTATTTATTTAAAGATTTATTTATTTATTTATACAAGCACTGGGTACAGTCAGAAGTACGGGAGGGTGAGAGAATTCACCAGAGCCAGAGCGGGGAGCAGAGCAGGCAGAAGGACCGAAGTACACTGCTGAGGGGAGCAGCGGGCAGCAAGAGAGGTCTGAGCACCATGTGGGACCCTTGCGGGTGGCCGGGGATCGAACTGGTGCTGCAGAGGCTGCGGGCAGCTTCGCAGCTCAGCGCTTAACCACTGTGCCAGTGGGGAGGCCCGAAATAGATACATTTTAAATTGAATTCCTTAAAATGGTGACATTCAGAGTGAAATATTTATGGGGCAAATAGATTTTACCTATCCAAAATAGCAAAATTCTAACAGCATTCTGAGGGGTGTGATCTAGCCAGTGGTATAATGTAAAATGATACTTTGCATTAGGATATGAGTGTAAATATGGTGTTCTTCTTGGCATACTATCAATATCTGTCTTTATGATCAAACCCTCTACTTTAGCTTTCTTTCTCAATTTTAAATACTCAATTGGTGAACACCCAAATATGTACTAGTCCTCATTGCTCCTTCCTTTCCGCAGAGCTCCAAGTCAACTTGGATCATTAGAACTACTCAAAGCCAGTATATTTCAACCCTCTGAGTTTTTTCCATATGCTTATACCCCTTACAAGTGCTGCTATTTCCTTTATATGAATTCTTCAACCCTGATAACACAGTGCTATCCACTTCAGTTGGTTCTTTCTTGTGCAAACTCCTTTTCCCTTATCTTTTGCCCAGTAAGTCTCTGGATACTGTTCACCTCTTTCTTCTTTTACAGTCTTTTTTTTTTTTTTTTAATTCTAGTTGAGAAGCAAAAACATTGTCATATTACACTGGTAAGTATGAAAATGCTAGTAATACTGGTATTAACTGAAATGAAAAATTATATATGTTAAAGTGAAACTGAACAGAATGATTGAGATGCTTGAGTTATTGAAAAGTATCCTTTAACACCTTCACTTAGGTTATAATTAATCATTATGCCCTTATCTAAATAAGTGAAGGAAAAAATCAGCTCTTAAAATATATAAAATTATATCTTGTTTTGCTTTTTTCCGTTTTCCTATTACTAATTTACCATATATTTCTATTTTGTATTTCAGATGCTCTGCATTTCAACTTCATCAAAGATTAAATTGATGATGGGCTAGTATGGAAATCTAAATAAAAGTGATTTGATTACATCTATAAGAAAATATGTTCAAATCCCCATGGACTGACTTATAAAGGCGCTTTCGTGGATATAACCTAATGTAAGTTGCAGAGATAATGTGTTTTAATCTTTGCTATCCACCTCCTCCAAGACTTAGGTAATTTGTCTATTTGCAGGTGTGCAAGTGTGTCTACATATATTTTTCAAAACTCTTGAGTTGATAACATCATGTGTTCCTTCCTTGAACAGATATCTGAATGCCTATTATGTAAAAAAAAAGTATGGTTCTAGGCTTAGGGATATCCAGAAATGAGGTTACTGCCCTCACAGAGCTCACACACTATTGGGGAAACAGACATAAACCAAATAATTGCACAAATATATATGAAATGCACACCATGAAGGGTGCTGTTAAGGGAGGGTCACATACCACTATGTGATTCTATAACTGGGGTTCTGCCTTTTCTGCAGGGTCAGATAAGGTCTCTGGAGACAGTAATGTTGCAGCAAAGCTCTCAGGTGTGGGCAGGAGTTAAAAGGTAAAGGAATTGGGAGGTCATAAGAAGAGGGGTAAGAATGGAAAAGAAAGTGCACCAGACAGAGGGCACATATGTTCAAAGATCATTTTTGCTCTTTTAGGTAATTTTGATGACTTTTTCCAGAAGTGACCACTGAGTAGCCAGGAGACTTTCAGTTTAAACCATAACATGAAAATTAATTGCAATCACATTAGATCAATAGAAAATAACAAGGCACATATTTCACAAGCACTTGTACTTTTTCTTTCAGGAATGAAGTACTCCTTAAGCCCTGACAACTACCCTAAAGATGGAATTATGAATATGGCAACTTTTCTACGGGGCTTTGAAGAAAGGGGAATAAAGAACGACAGGCCTGAGGACCAATTGAATAAAGAGAAAAAGAAAATTCTGTTCTCCTTCTGTGAGGTGTGCAACATCCAGCTAAACTCTGCAGCCCAGGCCCAGGTTCATTACAATGGCAAATCCCATCGCAAACGAGTAAAGCAGTTGAGTGATGGGCAGCCTCCACCCCCAACTCAGGGCTCAGGGCTGCTGCTAGCCAGCCCCAGCTCCAACACTAATGCAGGTAGGTGGGAGGGCCCAGCGCTCCATTTATTATGGCTGTGGGTGATGGCTCTTCTAGAAAATGAAGGGTTGAGAGCAAGACTTAACCATTTAACCTTAACACTACCACCACAGTAATTTATATTCTTTTCCCTACAGGTAAAATCTAAGAATGGTTAGTTACTTCTCAGTATATTTTTAATTATTATTGTTCATAATATATATTAGAAATGAATGTCATATTATATATACACATATAGATATGGACATATACATAGTTAAAAACACATTCATCCAAATATATTTAGAGCTCTAATTGGCTTTATTTAACAATTCTCAGATAGCATCACACTTAGCAAGTAGAATGACTGCAAGAATTTGGAGGAAATGGAAGATTTTTATAGTCAAAAGAAGGTGGGAAAAGGTGATTAACAACAAAAGAAGAGGTTATTTCAGGCAAAGCCATCTTCCTTTCCCTTCCCTTTAGGAAGGCAAGGGGATTACTTTACTGATGCTGACCGAGGAACACCACATTGATGTAAAATTCCACTTTTGGGAGAAGCTGAAACTGTGATATTAAGTTTTGGTGGGGATATTCATTAATGGACTCCATTTTGGGCCTCCTGTTTCTTTTTTTTTTTTAAAGATATTGTTAAAAAACAAAATTCACACATTTAGAGCTCTAATTTACTTTATCATATGATTCATGAATCAGGCACACCTCAACTAGAAATGCAAGAGGTTTCACAAAATCCAGGGTATTTATAGACAGAAAAAGGTAAGACAAGGTTATAAGCAAAGGAAAAGATTATTTCAGGTAAAGTCATCTTCCCTGGGGGGAAGGCAAGGGTGTCTTATCATATAGATTATCTCACTGGTGCTGATTGGAAAAACCTGATTGATTGCTTTGGTATTTCACTTTTGGGAGAGGTTGAAACTGCAGTGAGATTAGGTATTAAATCTGGGTTGAGACCTAGCATGAAAGACTTCATTTTGAGGTCTGTTATTTCTATTTCTTAAATATACACATAAACACACACACACACACACACACGATAGACCATATATTGGACCATAGACTTGGTTCTGATTTATCCCTATATCCTCAAAGTCTGTCAGCATTATATAATGTACTTTGAAAGGTGTTTAAAATGAATCGTGGTGTCAATTTTTTCCACCTCTCAGCAAAATTAACCTTTCTTTGGTTCATTTGTCAGGGTAGTGTACTATTTGATAATACAGAAAAAGTACGACATATATAACATCCCATGCTGTAGGAAAGAATCATCAATCTTACCTATTAGACTTGTTATATATATATATATTAAGATTTATTTATTTATACAAGCACTGGGTACTTCAGTCAGAAGCATGGTACAGTCAGAAGCATGGGAGGTGAGAGAATTCACCAGAGTCAGAGCAGGGAACAGAACAGACAGACTAATGAAATACACTGCTGAGGGGAACAGCGGGCGGCAGGAGAGGTCTGCGTGCCATGTGGGACCCTCGCCCGGTGGCCGGGGATTGAACCAGCTCTGCAGAGGCTGAGGGCAGCTTCGCAACCCAGCGCTCAACCGCTGTGCCACCGGGGAGGCCCTAGACTTGTTATATTCTTTTAGGGAGTTGATGTTCTAACTATGGAACTATAGGACAGGCCTTGCCAACACTAACAAGGCTTACCTCTGAGATCTGCTGCAACCGGTACACTCATCTTTTATTCTCCCTTCACTCTTACCTCTCACCTCTTCCTTATGGGCTGGCTAGAGGCAGAAGCTTAGGAACTTTTTATTCCTGTGTCTGTCCTGAATTCTGAACAGTCTTTCAAATCCTTTATCATATTCTTGGGCCACCCCTTCCTCTTCCACATTTCTGGTCATTGGGTATCTTCACTATGATAGAATTCAAGAAAAATGTGAATCTTACTGTTATCCTAGTGAAGATTTCTACAAAAGAGGGCCTCTTACCCAGGTTTACATGGGAGAGGCCTGCTCCTCAATGTGATGGAAGAGCTCCAAATTCCACTCTAGCAAGTGTTTGTTCTGGTAGAGGATTCAGATTGAAGTGAGAGGATGCAGAATAGCCATTTGTTGGATTTCACTTAGTGCTGTTACATAATTTTTGGTTTTGGGAAGTCATGCCAGTGTCCATGTAAGTTCCAGTGAGAACTGTTTGTATGTGTGTTGTAAATAATTTTTAAATTTTAAGCTACCCTTAACTACTTTTTAAACAGTGTATGGTTTAATCTCATTTAAGCTGTTTTTCCCAATTAATATTTAATTGTGCTGTGAAAAGAACTTAAAGGAACTTACAGGATGTGGGATATACACTTGGTAAAAAAGTCACTATTCCATTTTATACATTTTATATTATGATGATAATTATCATAAATATTCAGATACATTAATACATCTGTATTTACATATTAAAAATAAAATTGTTATTAGGTTAAAAACTGACGAGTGGGCCTCCCCGGTGGCGCAGTGGGTTGAGCGCAGCCCTGTGAAGCTGGTAAAATACCATGGTAAAATGCCATGTGTAAGGACAGGAATGGACACAGGGCAGGTTTTCTATGATCCAGCAGACCGGGTATAGGAGGAGTCAGAGTCCTCAGTGGCTTTTTGCAGGTCTTTTATTGGGATTTACCCGGTACACAGCGGGCAATGGTGCTGGGGGGCCGGGAGGCTGGCAGGCCTCTCAGCCCCAAGTAAGTCTTCACTCTGTCTGGGTTCTCTGGTGTTCTCTGCTTCTCTCTTGGCTTCTGCTGCTCCTTTCTTGGCTTCTCTTTTGGCTTCTGCTGGTGTCCCCGTGACGCCGCCCATAAAAACCCAGTCTTAGCCCAGGTGAATCCCATCTACCTCTGCCCACACCCTATTCCAGGTGCCTGCCATCAGGCATGCATTCAGGACCGCAAGGATCCATCATCTATCCTGATGGCGGGAGGGCAGAAAAGCCTGATACCTTTTACCTTACCCTGCACCATGTTAACAGCTAGGTTAAAATAGCATATCAATTGATACAGTAAAAATATTCATGAAAACCCAGCTCTCATTTTTGATAAAAACTCTCAGCAAAGTGGAAGAAGAGGGAAATATCCTCAATTTAATAAAGAACATCTACCAAAGCCTACAACTAGTAGCATACATAATGATGAAAGACTGAATGGTTTTCTCTAAGTTTTCCCGAAGGTAAGGATGTCCATTCTCACCTCTCTTATTCACCATAATCCTGGAAATTCTAATCACTTTTAGAAGGCAAGAATAAATAAAAGACATACAAATTGGAAAGGAATAAATAAAACTATTACTCTTGTGTATCACATGATGGTCTGTGCCTAAACAAGCTATAAAAAACTACAAAGAAGCTACAGAAGAACTTCCAGCATTAATAAGTGAGTTTAGCAAGTTTGTAGGATAGTGGATCAACACACAGTAACCAATGGCATATCTATATACTAAAAGAAATATAAAACTAAGCCAGAGAGAACTGCTGGACTTTACAGCTCTCCTAAGTTCTTTTCATAGTCTACTCTCTGGCCTATGTCAACCAAGATCCTCCCCATCAAGTCCAGACATCCCAGCTTAGATGTTGTTTCTCCAAGTTACCAAAGAGATTATTTTCCATATAGTTTTCCAAGTCCATATAAAACCCCCACCATTTATTCTCTTTGTAAAGTTGCTAGTGACCTTCGAACCTATTCTTTACCCTGGGTACCTACCACTCTAAACTTTTCCCATCTTTGCTATTTCTTTCACTATTCTCATTCTCCAGGATAGGTCTGAACTTAAGAAATTTAAACCAATTGATGAGTGAATAACTATCTAACCTGATGGTTCCAAAAATTTAGCATGTAGCAGAATCGCCTGGGTGGTTTAAAATGGTTTGTTAAAGAGCACATCACTGGGCTCCATCCCGTTTCTGATTCAGGAGCCTGTGAACTTGATCTCTAACAGGTTCGAAGATGATGCAGAAGTTCCTGGTCCAAAATTTTGAGAACACCAATCTATCCCATGGAGGATGATTTGTGCCCAGAAAAGGAAATTTTTACCTTAAATGTATCTAATTGGGAAATGAATAGGGAGAGGAAAGATGACCTTCTTGTGCTTTGTCCTCTGCTGGAACACCCAGTGGCCCATGGAAAAAGAGGGATGCTACCATGCAAATAGATTGACATGACCCCTAGACCCCATCAACCAATCCTTACCCCTAACTAGGAGCTTTATAAGCAACTCTGCATTTTCTCGGCATCATATAAACAGTGAGGGCAGATTAAAATGCTATGGTTAAATGGATGAATGAGGCTTTTCCTTGTGCCAGGTATTATGCTAAGAAGTTATCTGATTTGATTCCTCACAGCAGATTTAAGAAGGTACTATGATCACATACAGTATGGATGAGAAATAAAGAAGTTATTTAACAGGTGGAAGAATTTGGAACAAGGCAGCCTAATTGGCTGATTCCTCCTATGATTTTATTAACTTCCATCTATAGGCAGAAATTGCCTCATTTGTGCTTATGACAGTATACCTGATGTGGAAGTGGAATCTGAGACAGCCCCCTGCACGAGTCTGGCACTATGTGGTAGCTGTAGGCCAGATTATTCTCCCCAGTGCATTCTCCTGCTGAGGGAGCTTGAACTAGGCATCATTACACAGGGGTCACAGAGCCAGCATCAAGAGCAGTAGCTGCAACAGCTGTTCTTTTGGTTAAAGCCTGTCACAGGACCAGCCCAAATTTCAAGTGGTAGAATAAACTCCACCTCTTGATGTGTGAAGTGGTATTTTTTATTTCGCCTGGGGGATTTTTTTTAAATTTATATATATTTTACATCTTTGTTTATTTTTAAACAATGTTTGCTTTCCCCCACCCCCCTCAGGTGTAGTCCCCCTAGAATTTCCTTCACCAATTCACCCATGAACCATCACCACCATCCTTGTGCTCCTCCCTTTTTGAACTGAGTTTTTTTGAGTATATTTTAAGTAGAGGAAACTGGGAGGGAGGGTAGTGTGAGGGAGAAGGTCAGGATGGT